CTTAATTAGCGCCCTATCTGCTATCGTAGTTTTAAGGCTTCTAATTATATTTATACTAAATAGCAGGACGTAGTTTAATTAAGAAGCCGATTCTTATATAGCTTATAAGCCCTATAAGGGGCCACTAAGTTTATAAGGTATATATAAGCCGAGGTTTACATTGCTATTCAAAAGGGAGGAAGCAACAGGAAGCGCTGAGGCGGCATCGAAGACCGACAACATACCGTCGCTTGACAATGCTGTGAGTGAAATCCTAGTGATCCCAGTCCTTTGATCAGCTCAAGCTCTCGGGCTAACATAATCACGTGCAGCTTGAGTCTGATGATTGGTCTGGAGAAAGATGGATGATCACTTGGTAGAATAATGTTGGAGAGGGCCGCGCTGAGTGGTGGTAATGCATGACTCTACTGTGGTAGCGAAGGTCACTCAACTACGATGACGCGAGTGAAAGTGTTTCAAGGCGTTGCACCTTAATCTCGATCATTCGAATGATTACTCGGCGTTATTCAATTTGTTCGAAAGTTGAGATACAACCTGAATTCAACTCAATATCAGCTGTTGGTACTCTCAAGACACAGATACGCCGGGAGTAGAAAAGGTACGTAACATCAATGCTCAGTATTTCAACCTGGCCGACAGCCTACTCGCGTGGGTCATGGACTTTTACACGGAAGGCAATTGAATCTTCATGTTTCTTCTGGCTCGGTGCCTCATCTATAGCATCCAACAGGAGCCTAGCTTCAGGTTTTGGAGCAAGCTGCCATCACTTGTGCCAATTGCTGATTCTTTTCCAACAGTTTTCGTGACCATCTGCGTTCACGGCATAGATACAAGGAACGTCTTGCCCGGATCTTCCCCCATTTGGCCGTCCATCATCATCGTTCAAAACCACTCAACATTATTGTCTTTTCAAGTCGCGACGCGAGAGCAATCATGATCTCCTGCCACTCAAGATGCAGCCTCGGCCATGCTCTCACAAATCTTCATTGAGATTGACCTGGACGGTGACGCTAGAGCTGGCAGCGGCGGCGTCGGTGTGTATTCCAGTGAAGCTGCATGCTCCCTTGTGAACGACTCTGTGCTGTGGTCGACTGTTGTATCGCAGGCGCAACATCTCCGTCTCACCACCAGAAATTGTGCTGACAACGAAAGGTGAGGGCTTGTCAACAGTCTGTTTGGCAGTCGAACCCGAGTAGTTATCTTCAAAGTAGAACCAGTCATCGCCGTTTTCCATGCTGAAAACGTGTGTCTCTACATCGTCATCCTTGATGCTGGCTCTGCCTTGAACATCGGCAGAGAGCTGGAAACGAAGAAGACCACTCTGGACATTGAAGAGACTGCAAAACGCCTTTGTCAGCCATCGCGATCAATGGAGCCGTCGGTGAAAGAACATACTTGAAGCCAAATGCAATGTCAAGCCCGGCTTTGCTGCGAACAATGTCGGCCGCGGGTGGCCAGATGTCCGCGAAAGTTGGCCAAGTGAGAATTTCTACTCCAGCAAGCTCATCATCGTGGGCGAGAGAAAGCGAATGAGCCTTCGCAGTCGATCCGCCAGCAACCTTCACACGTGCACTTTCGGAGAAGCTGTTAATCTCCCAGCATTCGACGGATGGCTCGCCTTGTTCGTTGACCACAAAAGCCGTGATTCGGGACTTCTGGGCCAGGGGCTCATCTGGTGAGATGTGTCAGCATGGGTTCGTCAGGCACTATTTGCTGCCACTTGACAACGGACGATGTCAAACGAACCATCAGATGTACTCCATGGGCGTGCCGTGGCAGCCGTGGCCAACAAAGATGAGACGATTGCGTTGGTCAATTGCATGATATCTGAAGTTGGAACTGCTCTCCAAGAGGCTCGTGGAGGTGCTGCGGTCTGTTGGAGTGGAACGAGTTGGAAGCTGATGATAGCAATGGAAAGTGAGAGATTTCCACGAATCTTATACTTTTTGGGTTGCTCTTGCGAGTTTTCCGGTCTGTTAAGCTGTTCCATGCACTCGTCTTCCTTGTTGAAGTTCCATGGCTCGATGAAGACCCCGGAGGCACCTGACAAGAAGCCGTGCCAACATGTCCAGGCGCCGTGACGGTGTTCGGCTACCACATTCGACAGGTCTCGATGGCCTGCAGAGCAATACCTAAAGAAGCGAGTAACCCCGCGGGGCATCTTGTGCTCGCATGCGAACCCGTGTACATGTGCTGCACTGCAAATGATCGGCGCTGCATAGACTGAAACGGAAAGTGCAGGTCTGAGATCTCCCAGAGTCTTCCCCAGGACGCTTTGACTTGGGAGACCGCGGGGAGCCCGGATCAGTAGAGGATAGATCCGCCAACCACGATACATATTTACCAGTGATGGAACTGGATCAACATTCGTCTGCCATTCCAATTCTGACCAATTGCAAGCCATAGTTGCTTGCCCGTGCCTTCATACTTCATGTCTTACCTACGTGTGTGCGAGGCATTGGCCCTGGAAGTGTCTGAATACTGTGCTAGCGCCGGCCGCTCAACATCAAGAGCAAGTACTAGCTACCATCGGTCCGTGAAGCACGTCTTGTTACAAGCGCTTGGAAAACACGGTTCAGTGTCTGTGAACTTGAAAGCTCGCGATTTGGATATGGTTCGGAGGGACGGATCAACTCCATGCTGCCCAGTAGACTGCGAACGTGCTGCATTGGTCTCATAGCCACCAGCATTCATCAGAGGGTGACTGGCTACTGATCGTGAGATCACAAACGCTGCCTTCGTGTTGGATTGATAATTTGGATGCGTCATGGTCTCGATTCGAGGTATTCCAAGATGAGAGCAGCACTCGTCAGTCATGATATAAAGATGGTACGAACGTGTTGAAGATGATAGAAAGATCTCTGTCCTGCTGAAGCATGATATCGCTCCAGTCGCACCGCATACTGTGAATTCGAATACGCTTCTACCGGCACCCGCGGTCCGGGAGTGTTCAAAGTGGCAGAAGGACCTCAGCGGGCAGGAAAGAATGACCTGCGCCTGATACTTTTGTGCAGAGCAAAATGATCACGGTGGGCATGGCGATCATTTGCTGAGCCCGAGACGTTTTCCAAGCGGCCTTTGTATGCTTCTGTTGTTCACTTCTCCTCTTCACACGCACTTTATCGTCTCGAGCATTGTCAAAGGCTGCCAGTGCCTGTCATCGAATCCCTATGCTGCTGCCTACGGCTGACACGGCAACCGGTTCCAAGTTCGGTCCCGAACACCCAAGCAGTGTGTCGTATAAGAGCAATTCTCTACCGAAGTGGATCTGCTATACTGTCTGTGCTGTGTACGGTGAGACTTTACCTAGATAGGTTAAAGCAGGCAAGGGTGTAGGCCGACTTCACTCCAGACGAGCTCGCTAGTGAGCGCAAGGGATATGTGGAACAGATCCACCCAGAGATGAAACGTCGATGTCCGTATGGACTTCTGCAGCATCTCTGTTCTCAGAGGTGTATGATCTCAACCCTTCGGCACCATGGAATACACACAACCGGTATCATCTCCAGCATTTCGCGAGAGCGTTGGCCCCATCGCCAAACACGCCTTGAAGCTAGCAGCGAAGGCAACTCACAAATTGGGCCGAGTCCCGGGGTCCGCAGTACTGGGTCGCTACATCCATGCATCATACCAGAATGATCCATTCCGCAGTATCTTGGAACTATTCCTGTTTCTCATCGCCGTTCGCTATCTTGTAGGATCCAAGTACAATCCCAAGAAGAGAGCCAGTCACGTCCTGTTGACCGAAGATGAGATCGATGAGCTGGTGGAGGATTGGGCACCGGAGGCTCTTGTACAGGAGCAGCCCGAGATGTTGAGATCCGGCGAGCACCTCCCCATATTGCATCGAGAGGCACCCACTGGACCAAGAACGAAGCTGCGGGACGGCAGGACTGTCACGAACCTGGCCAACTACAACCACTACAACCTAGCCAATCACCCAGATCTCATTGAGCTTGCAGCCAGAACCATTCGTACCTATGGTGTTGGGCCTTGTTCCGCTCCTGGCTTTGCCGGAATCTTTGATGTTCATTTGAAGCTCGAGCAAGATATCGCAAGCCACTTTGGAACCGAAAGCGCCATAATTTACTCCCAGAGCTTCTCCACCATCAGCAGTGTCATATCCACCTTCTGCAAACGTGGCGATATCATTGTGGCCGATCGTGCGGTGAACTATCCCATTCGCATGGGCATCCGAGCATCGAGGAGCATCGTTCGCTGGTTTGAGCACAATGACATGGAAGACCTGGAAAGGGTGCTCGCCAAGCTCGTGAGTGAAGAGCGACCGCTCACGCGGAGGTTCATAATCACGGAAGCTCTGTCAGAGAATGTTGGCGACATGATCGACCTGCGCAAGCTTCTCGAGCTCAAGTACAAGTATAAATTTCGAGTCATTTTGGATGAAACGTGAGTGTCAATGTTGACCCGTGGGCTTCGTGGTTTTTGCTGATCCTTTTTTCCGCCTCGTAGGTGGTCTTACGGTATCCTGGGTGAGACTGGCAGAGGCTTGACCGAGCTGCAAAATGTAGACCCGACCAACATTGACATACTTGTCGGCAGCTTAGCGGGCTGTGTTGCGACCGGTGGTGGCTTCTGTACCGGATGTGAAGGGATGGTAGAACATCAGCGCCTCAACTCCCCAGCTGTGACTTTCTCAGCCTCCTTGGCGACGTTCTTGACAACCACAGCTTCTGCTGTCATCGGACGTCTTCCGTCGGATGATGGAGCGAGAGACTTGAGAACTCTGCGAGAACGTATCGATGTGCTTCGTGCGCAGCTTCAGAAAAGCGATTGGGTAAGGTGCACAAGTGCGTCGAGCAATCCAGTCATTCATTTGACGTTAAAGGAAAAGTATGTCGAAAGCCGTTGCCTCTCGTATCGGGAGCAGGAGTCTTTGTTGCAAGAATGCGTTGACGAGGTGAGAGCCAGCCGTATGTCATCTGAGAAAGCTCCTGCTGACTGAGTCGGCAGTGTCTCAGGATCCACTCCATTCTCATTACCTGCCTCAAAAGCATGCCTCTCATGGAAGGCTTGCATCCGCGAGAAGCCTCGAAGGAGTATCAGCCCCAGCCAGCCATCAAGGTGTGTGCTTCCACAGCTTTATCGCATAAAGACATGGAGAAGTCGGGCATTGCTATACGACACGCAATCACAGCTGTAATGAAGCGGTCTAGGAAGTGACGAAGACGAGGTCCCAAACCGGGTCCTGTTTCCCAGGCGCCGAGACTGTGCGGGCCGGGCCCAGATTCCAGGTTCTCTTTCCACTGCGTTCGAATGCATCTGTCAAGCTCGATCTCAACCTCGTTTGTTTCTCTGATGATGCAGAAAACTTTAGCTTTATCTAATTACCATTAGCGGCCTCCTTGGCCATCATCATCATGTTTGAATTCGTCTGCAGGAAATCAAAGTGTTCCTTCGTCCTCGGGGCGCTATTTCTCGCGCTTCCGTTTAGACGGCTCGAACTCTTCGCAAATTGTTGGAGATACCAGACGAAGCACACTCAACGCGGTTGTTGCGAGGCAATGGCCTTGGACTGAGTTCGGATAGGGCAGCGATGGTACAGGAAGGTAGCGAAATTCTCCACAGTAACATGCATTGACGAAGTCGATCGCATAGGAGACGTCCTTGGAGGACCCTGGGATTTGCAGTCGAAAACCGAGTTGAAGGGTTCTTCGTCGTAGGAGCAATAGGCCAGAGTTGCATGGCTAGCTTCAGTGATTGCCCATGCGCATGGGCATCTGCAGGTTTTGTTGCTGCTGTTGCTGGTCGAACGCAGCCATGCCTCCGGCGCAATGACCATCTTTGTCCTAATGCGAAACTGTATTGGGGACGCCTCGATGGCGATCGGGGCCGTGTCGTCTTGATCAACTGTAGCACCGTAACGAATCCAAAGTCACCGTCCGTCCGCTGAAGCAGTCGACGGGAATGATGCGGTTGCTCCCGCGCGCCAAGGGATCGGCCACTCCCGCGACCGAGACCCGAAATTCACTTCAAAAAGAAAAATAGCATATCTCTGTCAATTCTTGTCCCTTTGCCTCAAGAACTTGTGCTATGCAATCAGCAAAAAGCTTCCGAAACGGGGAATTGAACCCCGGCCTTGTCGGTTCTTCATCAGCTGCAGAATCGAGTTTTCGATCGCACCTGTACGATGAGAGCGACAAATCCTAGCCACTAGACCATTTCGGACTCGAGATTGCAGAGCTTGCTGCTTGCTTCGATAAATGCTGACAATTCCAAATTAAATATGATTCCTGGATCTTGACCGCCAGGTTTTCAGGCAAGACGTCATGCGCTTCTTATTCACCCGTAGTCGAGCTGCTGCGCCGATAGCTGTGGTTGAGTGCACATGAAGACGAATCTTCTACCATCCTTATAGTGTGCAGAGGAGTACAGGAGTACTTTGCATCGACATTGGAGCCTCGTGAACAGCTATAGAAGCGCAACAACCCACACAATCAAGTGCACCAGAGGCTGCGATTGAATCTCAAGTCCACGAGAAGAGGCCAGAGACAACCGATTTTATCGTATTCTGTTCTTTGCTGGCCGTGAAGGCAATGACGACAAAGATGTCTTGTTGATGGCTCACTCAGTCTTGCGCGATTGCCTACAGCGTGTCCACGCAGTAGTCTTTGACCATGAAATTCTTTCCGGCGGCAAACTTATCGAAAACCTTCCAACTGTGTTCTCGAAACCCGACACGTCTCTTGCAACCTGGCCAGTATGGTATGTCATGGTTTTCTGCTCGGATGGGAGAACGTGTGCGTTTATTACTGGTCCGGGATGCCGTTTGCATAGACCTTCATGGCTGCTCTCCGGCAGAGTTGTGGTTCCAAATGAGATGCAGATCGAATTCCAACCACTGCAAGAGCTACTCCGAGGCCGGCGGACCATTAGGCGGGCAGGGGCGGGGTTGTAAGGATCAGTTACAGTGGAATGGCGGAGACACCGCCGCATTCGCGATCGGCTGAAGTCGATAGGTAGTTCTAAGTCTTGGCATGCTGCTGACTAACAACGCAATTCTCCTCCCGTCCTGCCATTGTGAACCTCCACGACCCAAAACGACACAGCACTTTGACAACGTATGGTGCGCCATATCTCGCATAGCGAATACATCGAAAGCGCACTGGAGCTTGATGGCAGTCGATTGATTGAAGCCTCTGTGCGGCCCTAACCAGGATCCACAGACTAGTCCGCAAGCTACTTCCTCCTCCACCTTCCAAGCTCTGCAACGACGCGGCTCAACGTCGGTGGCCCTCATTATGGTACTGTACAATGTGGAAAGACAGTGCGGAGTGCAACGCAGCTACCGGATATGCTAGTCGGCAAATATCAGGCGAACCAACTCTGCAATGATTGAATGATGGCCTTGGGAATGAGGTGCTTTCAGTAGTGGATCCGAGTAGTAATCTGATGATGCTCGGAAGCCGCATATGTAGTACTCGAAATCCTCAACTCCCAAAATCCTGCGCTCCCAAGAAAAGCAAGGATGAAGGGTGTTGTTTCAGCAGCTGGAGCTCTGCTCTCGCTGGCGTCGACAGCTCGCTGCATTGGCTACGCCAATGTCTCTGAGGTGCCGCTATATGGGCAGAGTCCGCCAGTCTATCCAACCCGTGAGTAACTCTAGTAAAAGCTCCATCTCACGACTGACAATCAGCAGCCGAAGGCAATGGAGGCTCAGATCCGAAATGGCAGGCTGCATGCGTCAAAGCACGCTCCATCGTGGACCAGCTCACTCTCGAAGAAAAGGTGAATATGACTCGAGGACACCCTGGCTTGTGTGTTGGAAACACGCCCAACATCACTCGGCTCGGAATACCAGCTCTCTGCTTTGCGGATGCTCCAGACGGCATCAGAGGGCAAGAGTTTGTATCTGCTTTCCCAGCGCAGCTGACTGTTGGCGCCACCTTCGATAAACGCTTGATGTATGAATACGGCAAGGCTCTCGGAGAAGAGTATCGCGGTAAAGGCATACATGTAGCTCTACTTCCTGTAGCTGGCCCACTTGGCAGAGTTGCACGTGGCGGGCGAAACTGGGTGAGTACAGACAAGAATTCTGGCTGATCCATGACTGACAATGATGATAGGAAGGGTTCGGCGCAGATCCCTACTTATCGTCTGTTGGCATGCGCGAGGTCACCACTGGTCTGCAGGGCCAAGGTGTGATCTCTCAGATGAAGCACTGGCTGCTCAACGAGCAGGAATGGAGGCGCAACCCTGGAAGCATGGGCGAATCCATTTCCAGCAATGCAGATGATCGGACTATCCACGAACTCTACGCCTTTCCTTTCATGGATGCTGTCCACGCTGGCGCTGCTTCGGCCATGTGCTCTGTACGATGTTCCTCCGCTGTACCGTTTGCAACCATGCTAATCTGAAGACAGTATCAACGCATCAACAACTCCTACGGCTGCCAGAACTCCAAGCTCCTCAACGGCATCCTAAAAAGTGAACTGGGGTTCAATGGCTTTATCACGAGTGACTGGGCTGCTCAGCATGCTGGAGTCGCCAGTGCAAACGCTGGACTGGATCTGGTGATGCCTGATGGCGGATACTGGGGCGACAACCTCACTCAAGGTACCTGCGCTTTTAGAAGCTGAGCGTATGCCAGATACATCTGCTGATATTTCCTTCTAGCTGTCCTAAATGGCACAGTTGCTGAGACACGGCTCAACGACATGGTTACCCGAATTTTCGCTGCATGGTACTATCTCGGGCAGGATGCGGGATATCCAGAAGTTGGCGTGTACCCGTACGATCAGCAACACCCCATTATCGATGTTCGCTACGATCACGCATCTTTGATCCGCGAGATCGGCGGTGCTGGTACCGTGCTCGTCAAGAACAAGGATCATGCTCTGCCATTGAAGAAGCCTAGATTCTTGAACATCTACGGATACGATGCGAAAGCACCAGACTCACCTTGGACTACACCTTCTCGTTTCGGAGGAGGTTACGATGTCAACTTTGGCTGGGAAACCTTCAACGGGACTCTGATCACTGGTGGCGGTAGCGGTGGTTCGAGCGTAAGTTGCTCCCTGGCTTCTTTCTCGCCCTGTGGTTGCATTTGCACCACATGTGAAAGCAACATGAAGGCATGGGAGACTTGTGCTAACACTTTACCCTAGCCTTCGTATTTCATATCACCCTTCGACGCCATTCAACGCCGTGTCATTGCAGACCGAGGCACCGTTCGCTGGGACTTCGCAAGTGTCAACCCAACAGTCTACGCCAATGCTGATGCTTGCCTGGTGTTCATCAATGCATATTCCTCAGAAGCCTTCGACCGTACCACGCTCAAGGACGAGTTCTCAGACAATCTAGTGAAGAATGTGGCTCGCAATTGCACGAACACCATTGTTGTACTGCACAGTGTCGGAATCAGAGTCATCGACGAATGGGTAAACAACGAGAACGTTACAGCCATCGTATATGCATTGCTTCCTGGAGAAGAGGCTGGAAATTCTATCGCAGATGTGCTTTACGGCGATGTCTCGCCCTCAGGCCGCCTGCCCTTTACAGTCGCCAAGAACGAGAGCGACTACGGCAATCTGCTCAACTCCACGATTGGCTCGGGACCATTCCCGCAGGACAACTTCACGGAAGGTCTATACATTGATTACCGTTATTTCGATCAACAGAACATTGAGCCAGAGTTGGAATTCGGCTTCGGGCTCTCATACAGCACCTTCGAATACTCAGATCTGAGCATCACTCCGGCCAGCAATACCACGCAGGAATGGCCGACGCCAGACATAGCAATTGCACAAGGCGGACATCCGGAGCTCTGGGAGACATTATTCCACATCACAGTCCAGATCACGAATACAGGAGACGTTGCTGCAGCAGATGTGCCGCAATTGTATGTTTCTATCCCAACGGCACCCAAGTGGCAATTGCGAGGCTTCGATCGCCTGCATTTGGAGCCAGAACAGACCAAGACCGCAACGTTCAAGGTGACCAGGAAAGATCTGTCAGTATGGAACGTTGTGCACCAGCAATGGCAGCTTCAGCAAGGGCCATATGATCTCTTCGTTGGCTCTAGCAGTCGCAAGCCACTACTGGAAGGCTCACTTGAGATCTGAAGGATTGAAACGAGAACAATGACTATGCAGTGATATATCGCCGCTGTCGCTTATTAGTAGTGATAAGTAGATATCGAAAAATACTGGTGGCTTCTCCAATTGAATCACACTGTTACGTGCTTGCCAATTTGGGTGCTTCCTGCCAACGTCCAGGCAGGCGGTCAACGGTACCTTCACTTCAATTCGTCAGTCTGTGCGCTTCGGTTCACTAAAATTTCCAATTCGGGTGTGGTCTTACACCTTTGCCCCACTAACCAAGCTCACCAAGCTCACTTTGACTTCATTTCTCCATCTCGACATCTTCCATTTCACATTCCTGCGACATTCGCCACGAAGCGACCGACCACGATAACATAAGTCCGACTGACGCAGTGGCGGAAACAAGAAGCCATATGGCCACGCCAGAAGAAGACGCAGCACGTCTCGAGACTCTGGCTCTCTTCATCCTCCAGCAGCTCGAGAAGCCGGTGCCAAACGACTGCATGCACCTCTGCGGCTACAGTACAATCGCCATAATTGCAACCAGGCCGGATGATGTGCTACAACTGGGGAAGAATTATCTGCATGCCTGGCCTTATGAAAATGTGCCCGCATGCTGGCGTCGCCTATACGAAGATGCCAGTCTTCACCTTGCTGTGAAGCTACTGCGCGAACAATCAAGTCATCCACAAATTTCTGATCGTGCTATCTCGATACCTAGCACCAATCCTGCAAAACGCACCAAAGTTACACTCGATGTGGCATGGAAAGATCAAACTTGGCTCAAGCCATTCTGCAATATCATGGATCGAGCAGTTATCATCTCCGGCGCTCCAGGCCGCAAGGCCTTGATCGACGATGTACTTCGACAGCTCGAACTCTTCATGGTATCAGAATGGACAGATATCGAACCTCAGAGACTTCCAACACCACGACCTCGCCCACTGGACACAGATTGTCCCATTATGCGAACGACCAGAGGCTTCGAATTCGAAGAGTTCCAAATGCACCTCGAAACGACAGGAGCACCAGTCATCATGCCTGACACATTTGAGCGTTGGCCTGCTCGCACACTTTGGGACGATGTGAATTATCTCAAGTTCAAAACATTAGGTGGCAACAGGATCGTGCCAGTCGAAATAGGCAGCAGCTATACGGAGAGTGAATGGTCTCAGAAGATTATGACTTTCGCAGAATTCGCAGAAACATATCTCATCCCAGACCAACCAGAAGAGATTGGTTACTTAGCACAACACGACTTATTCGAGCAAATTCCAAGTCTTAAGAACGACATCAGTATTCCCGACTACTGCTGGACAAACCCCCCGCAACCGGAAGGCGCAGCAGCAAACACCGCAGGACTCAAAACAGTCAAACAACTTGATGCACCACTTCTCAATGCATGGCTCGGTCCAGCTGGAACCAAAACCCCACTACACACCGATCCATATCACAACATCCTCTGCCAGGTCGTAGGGTACAAGTATGTTCGTCTATACTCACCAGAGTATACAAAATTCATGTACCCCTGTGGGGTGGATGACGCTGGAATTAACATGAACAATACCTCACAAGTCGACATGATCCATTTCAGGCCTGAGTTGAAGAGCGGTGAAATGCAGTACGATGCAGCTCTACGCGAGCAGGTTCGGAAGTTTCCGCTCTTTGGCAAAGCAAAGTATCAAGAAGCTATTCTTGGACCAGGAGAGTGCTTGTATATTCCACTTGGATGGTGGCATTATGTGGAGAGCATTACGGCAAGCTTCTCGGTTTCGTTTTGGTGGAATTGAGCGTGTGCAGTCCCATCAGGGCCAGATTTCCGATGAGGGTGCGGAAAACCATGTGAAGTGAAGAGAGCAGGTCACAACCATAGGATTATCTGACCAATTGGGTCCTTCTTAAACTACCTCAAAAGCACTGTACCAAGCACGAGTAATCTAGAACTGTCTCGCGCGCTTCGATCTCTTCCTGAGCTGAGGCCCAAACTTGAACATCACAAAAGCGATCAAGCTCAATATCGTGCCCACAATGGATAGCAGTAACCCAGCATACTGACTTCCAACATTGTGGAAGAACTGACTCGCGAATAGTGGCGACACAGCACCAAGCGTATTCCTCATGAATCCCTGCCCAGCAATCGCCGAAGACGAATTCTCGCCATAGCAATCCGCAGTGTACGAATACGTGCTTTCGAACACGAAGTAGATTCCAAACGCGATAGGCGCAAGAGCGATCGTGGGAGCAATCCAGTGGATATAGCCGTATTGGGTGAATGAGTAGATGAAGAGGCCGATTGGGAACCAGACTGCTCCGAACATGGCGCCATACAAACGGCTTTCAGGCGTGGCAATTCGATCTGGATCGTTCATGATCTTTTCGTACTTTCGCATTTGCAAGTGATGCGCGGCCCAGCCGAGTGTAGTTCCAATAGCCAAGCTGATATAAGGTAATCCAGAAACGCCTTCATTCCAGCCGCGCTTTTCGGTGAAGGTGATCGGGATGACAGACAGGAAGAGGAAGACCACGAACCAGCAGAAAGCAATCCAGAGGCCGAACGCGAAGACCACAGGCTCAGTTGCCAGCATTTTGAATGCTTTGACTGATGATGCCTTCAGCATACTCTGCAATGATGGAGTTTCGATCTCATCTGGGCCAACGTAGCGGTCGTCACCTGTCGCCTTGCGAAGCTGTCTTGCACGCCTCTGCAGAAACACGCCACCACGGGTTTCTGGGAAGAAGATGACGATGCAGATTAAGAGTGGGATGGTGCTCAGTCCTTGGATGCCCTCAACCCATCTCCATCCCAAATGTTGATCGATGAAGCCAGCGTAGACCGGAGCAAAAACGGTGCCGAAGATGGCGATGAAGGCGAACATTGCCATCGGTCTGCTGCGTTGTCGTGGCAAGTACATGTCATCGAAAGTACCGCCCACTAGAATCGTGCCAACGCATCCGAATAGACCCAGGAAAGCCCTCATTACCAGAATCGTGGCCATGTTCTGTCCCAAAGATAGGCCGATAAAGCAGAGCGAGAAGCAGAAGTATGCACCAGCATACACAATCTTGCGACCGACAAGCTCGCAGAATGGTGCAAGAAAGAGCGGTGCAATCGCGCAGACAAAGTTGAAGAGGAATAAGCCGAGCTGGCCAATTTCTGTCGAGACGCCGAACTCCGTGGTCATACTGTTGACTGTCGAACTGTAGCAGGTTGTCGAGAGTCCGATCGAGAGTGTCATCAAATTGAGCATTGTTGTGACGGCACGTTTGTACCACGGGTTCCAGTTGAAGGGGTTGACAGGGTCGAACGAAGCGTACTGAAGTACGATGAACTCTTTGCCATCCACTTCGACCAGCTCAGTCAAAGTCAGAGGCATGTCGATGTCGACCACCTGAAGCGGGCCATGATTATCGTGCAGTCCAGATTCCTTGCTCTCTTCCACGTAACGACCTCCTACCACTCTCCCAGCTCTTGTTGTCACATTCTCTTCCTGACCGACTTCAGGCTTTTGCTGGACTTCTGATCGAGTATCGGGTGTGTTTGTGTATGGAGTAGAGATTTTGTCGGTGTACCTGCTCCACAAACTCGCATTTCGAGAAGGTCCCTCCATGATGGGCTATAGCGCGGAGGTAAAGACAATGCTTTGATAATAGTTCGAAGAATGAAGCAGAGAACGAGACGATCAGCCTACCTTTTGTGCTACTTACGGAATACGGCTCCTTGAAATTCTTTTGCGACCACAATGCCACATGGTCACGAATCCGACCGCACTGATGTTGAGGATGATCTCATGTGGATCGAATGGAAGAGATCCGCAAACTGACCGTGAAGTGACCGAAAGTGAAGGCGCCATCTCACCACCATCCGGCGTTCCGCAATGTTGGAAGCAATAGCGAATATGTTCACTATTCATGTGCTGACTGAGCACTTGGATAGCAATAATTGGCTCGTTGTATTGGTCCACAGAACTGATTCTGAACGGGCAGACGACAGCGAACGTCATTGCAGAAAAGTCTTCGAGAAGCCAAAGAGTGATAACGATGGTGTCGTGGCGCCGCCGAAGCACATTGGTCTTGTCAGATTTTGGCGTGGTTCCACAAGGAGCGGGCCGCAGCTTGCATGAGTATGTTCCCTGTTCAATTGATGTCAGCTTTCAGCAGAGACCGCTCTCTTTAATCAATGTGCTGTTCTCGTTGCCCGAGCATTCTGCTGTTGAGAGCTCGAATGCTGCACGCGAAATTGGCTTGCGAAAAGCCCAGTCTCCTTCGAGATCCAGCGCGATTGAGGCTGGCAGATGGGTGGGCTTCTCGAGTGCATCGTAGTGCAAACTCTGAATTGCCACTTCTGAAAATATACGCTGGCTCGGATCATAGTTCCTGTTCACAGCCTCGTAGCTCTTTTGAATGTCGGAACATGACGTTGAAGCTGAACTCGCCGAATAGACACCGCGTGGACGCTGATGCCATAAGCCAAAGGCGCCGTCACGAAGCACATGGTCTCTGGGCAGACGCATAGTGCTGCCTTCTGGTCCTTCGACCCGGCCACGAGGTTCGTGTGGAAGCATCCGGTGGGCCACAGCACAGCTTGCCCTTCTGCACTCCGGAAGGAGGATCTGTTTCGCATCCGCAGAATGTAGATCCCACTGGTCCACCATGCATCGGACAACGTGCTTTCGAAAAGCACGCTCGGAATAGACAACACTCGTTTGAAGCATTGCTATCGCTGTAGTTGAGAGGTGGGCACCCGTCTGCTCATCTGTAAGAATCGGGCATTGATAGCCATGCGCTTCGATAGATTGCGTCCGTCTTTGTTGACATGCAAGGTGCTCGGGTCAGTTTATCGTATTTTGCAACTGACAAGCATATGGCCATCTCCAGGTGATCCATCCTAGCTTCCTATGTCGCGCCCACCACGGTCCGTCGTCATTCGGAGTGCTTTGTTTTGGCGTTTCGGTCGTTCCTGGCAGGATCACTGGGAAAAGGCAAGATTGGTACCCTTGGCCTGAAGATGTTTGCCCATGGCGCGCAAATAGAAGGCAGAACAAGTACGAACACGAAGACCTTGAAAACATGGAGATCTGGACCAAAGACCATCGGGTATGTGGAGAGGATGGCAACCTCGGATAGAATAAGGTTCTTTCCTCGTCACGAGGCTCCAACAGCGACTTTAGCCGGGAACTGGAGAAGAACTTTACACAATCCAATGCAACCTCACTCCGCACATTCGTACGAAGCCCAATCATCGACATCTCCTCCGCCATATTTCGCAACTGCCGGCCATACGCACAATTTCCTCGTGACATTATTCCCCGAAGGCGGAGAAGTGCTGAGAAATTCTGTCGGCGGCTCTACCCCGTCGGATTCCACCCACTTCACGAGCGGGGCGATGAACGAGTATGTCGCGGGCACGTTAGGATAGCCGGGGTTTGCTCCGCAATGCCCGCCGCCAGGTATCATTACCAAGCGGTAGAAATCGTCGACGCTTCCACCCATAGCACTCTCGACCTGCTTCAGGTGCTCAATGGGCCAAGTCCCTGCGTTGTACTGGTCTGCCCAGCCTTGGGAAGTGAGCAGCCTGCCCTTCCGACTCTTGAAGGCAGAAAGATCCGGCGTGATGGAGTCGATGAGCCTTCCTGCTCTCTCATCCACGATGTCGACGTCAGAAGTCCAGTGGAAAGTGGCATTGTCATAGCTCTGGTCATCGAAGACGAGATTCTTCAAAATCGGCACGCTGAAGTCCCTCGAAAGGTTGCGTTGTTGTACAGCCCACCCAGTCTCGCTGCCAAAGTCGAACCCAGGATAAACTTGTGCTCCGGTATCTGCACGCTTCGGTCCAGCATAAATTGCTTTCACAGTCGCAATCTTAGCTTCGGTCAAGCAAGTCGAGTTGGACGACGACTGGCAGGCCAGGGTGCTGATGTCGAATTTGCATGCGAGCGGATTCTCGATCAAACGATCGGCCACACCATCAATCTCATCGCAGGCATCGAGCACAGCACCAGTGACGAAGTCCAGCTCTTCCTGGGTCAGAGCAGTCTCTGGCGTCTGACTCCTCGTTAGCGAGTGGTCCGGAAGTTCACCTATACAGATACTTACTGCAGCATGCTGAGCATTCCAAAGAAAACTTAGTGCAAGATGACTATACCAATTCCCAGGACAACCCGCGTAGATACCATCGAACAATTCCGGATGGAACTGAGCCAACGCGAACCCTTGCGCTCCGCCGGTGCTGCAACCATAATAGTACGACTTGTTCGGCTGCTTGGCGTAATACTTCTCGACCAAGGCCTGGGCAGCAGGGGTGAATAAGCTTATTGCATCGTGAATCCAGGCCTGTACTTGTTCTTTGTCGTGGAGATATGGCAGATAGCCTGTGATGTTCTGGTTGTCCGCTGCAAGGTGGCCTGCATCACCGCCTGCGACTGCCATGCCCAGTCCGTTGTTGAGCTGGGTCAGCATGCCGCTGACATCGATAGTACCCGCCATTCCTCCATTTCCTACGGCGATAAAGCGGTCTTCGTAAGTATCTGGAAGCCACGTAGAGAAATGGAGGCTGTTGTTGTTGTTGCCATACGAGATGACAGAATTGACCTCGCAGAATCCGACCTGATTGAGCGTTCCGTTGACACCACCGGTGGCATTCCGACTACCTTCGGGATAGTAAGTCGCATTCAGGAAAGTTCCGTTGTACGGCTCCAGATCGATAGTCGCGAGATCCGAGCATCTGACTTGAGGCTTAAGTGAAGAGGCGAATGTGAGCGGCAAGCCCGCAACCAGAAGAATGCGCAGCAGCATTTTCGCGAAGTCTACAAAGTGTCGAAACTGGAGATGCCAACGTATACCCATGTTATAAGAAGAACCCAATGTAGCCGGCCTGCCGAGTGTCGGGCAACTCGAAGCATTTCGCGATGTTTAGCCTGCGGGCCTAGACGTGGGGATGAATGTGGAGGCCGCCGGGCACTGGTTTCAGTCGTCACACATCAAGCGATCAGAGTAACGTCGCGTGGATCGAAACAGGTACGTCAAGGCAAGCTCAACTGTTGCGCCTTATTACGCACTTAGCGAGGAAGTTCTCGAGCTACTAACAACCCTGCCTGTCCTTGGGGCTAAATCACAGACCGCGACAGCCAACTCCAATTACTGGTCTGACAACAAACAAGCACCTCCTCAACGACGTCGTGCACCGGTGGATGTCCCATAGCAGTCAGTGTATCCAATATGTTGCACCAGTATCGAATTGTCTTTGCCGAGCGACATTTCAGAGAGCTACCGACCTTTTGTCATAACATGGATGTAGTCGCTCCTCACGCACATTACGCAGTCGTCCGAAAGCCTCAGTCAGTTCGTCAAGCAATGACGACCCCGGCTTTGTGCCAGCTGGCGCACAGCGCAAATCTGACCAATTCTTCGCCAAGTACGGTTGGCGTGAGCCACGCTTTACATTCAACGATCTCACAGACTTCCCGCGACGAATGTTTTGGGTGACTCAGACCGTCACTCCTGAAGATTGGGATATGAACGAAATGTCAGCAACACGGAAATGACTGAACAAGAAACTGCAAAAGTCTGCCCGTTTGAGCCTCAAGGGGTGGGGAAACATGGCACTATACTTCACTCGCGCCGCCGAGGGCTCTGGTCCCCGAGTGAATACGTGAACGGATCGAAGATTGTCACTTGAAGATTGTCACCCAAGAGCATCACGGCAAGGACCACGTCAACTGGAAAGTGCAATCATTTGCAAGGCCAAACTCCGACGAAGAAGACGTCTCTGAATCGCCAAACTCTTCTGACATTGACAGTGACGACAGCGAGGACGACAGCGAAGCAAGCAATGCAGTACTCACCAGCTCTTCGGGAAACGACGCTTATCGTGAGGAACTCACCAACCTCCCTGAAAACGATGCTCGATGCTCGAAGCGACGAAGAAGCGGAAGACCAAGAGGGACAAGAGGGACAAGAAGTCATCAGCCTTTCTTCACTCGATGCTCGAGGTGAAGGAGAGCGAGTTAGCACTCCTCCTGCGCCTCTTGTCACCACCCCTCCTGCACTTCTTGACGCTCATGAGGTGCAAAGCAAAAACGCCCCCAAGCCCTCTTCACCACTCGCCCCTCACCGGCGGATGTCGGACAGCAGGGTCTCTCAAATGTCGCACGAAGAGCAAATTCTGTTTGCAGAGCGGAAATTCAAGCAGCTGCCTTCGTTTAATGCCGACCTTGAGGTCTCCGACCTTCCACCTCCACATCCACTCTTTCAGCAAGAGTGGAACGATTCTTTGGCTAAAGCAATTAGTCTCTGGAACTCACTGGACTCCAAAGCAGATGCTGGATCAAAGCCCTTTGTTACGCAGCCCTGGTGCGAGAGCCTGGCTTTATCTTCACCTGCACTCTTCGAGCATGGGGGTTCTATTGGATGATGGGATGCCATGGTCCTTGTGTCGTTGATGACATGATACGCTTCTGGCAGACAAATGGCGATCATGTCGCTCTGAGGTCCGGTGCGCGCCTTGATGGCAGGGCTCCAGGATGCAGGACAGAAATAGTGGATATCGACTGCTGCTTCATGCTGCCACCTACAGCCCTCTGTTCTGCATGCAGGAAACCACATACTCTCTTTCGGTCCGAATACATCATCCAAATCGGCCTGCATCGCTTGACGGTTGACAAAATCGATACTTTGGCCGACGACTTTTCTAAAAATGCCAATCATATGCCCACCATCTCCCATTTCCAGGGCGACGCTGGTTGCAGACATGTCCTTCACTATGCGATTGAGAGCAAGAAGATCAACAGTGACCGTGCCAAATTCTCTAAAGCCGGCCGTTGTCTAGGCCATCGAGGCACAGCTGCGTGTATCTTCCCACAACCCACTATCGATACGCCACATCAAGACAGCGATATCCCTCCACAGACATTCGACTACAGTCAGATAATCCGATGTCCACAAGCGTGCCCCCACCAGGGATCTGACACCTCACTTTGCTGGCCGGAGCTGTACACTCACTATGTGTCAACTCGTATCTCTCATGAGATGCTGCCGAAGCACCCTCACCCAGCGCTGTACCTACCATGTCCCGGTTGTTAATTCACGATGGCGACTACGAAACTTTAAACTTCATCAATATATGCGTGGACGCGGGGAAATGTTGCGATCAATCTGGAAGCCGCATATCAGCACACTGAATGCCAACGCTGGGGCCATCACATTGCAAGTTATTCGTTCTTCCAGGACAAAGATGGAGCAACTTCTGCTCCATGATTGGGTTCATACTACCTCAACCCCGATGAGATAGGATTCTTATCAAATACCAAGTTCGACAGAGTTGTCGGTTCAGTTGGCATGCAGCCAGTAGATGCCTTCAACCCGGTCTGGAAGGTTCCAGCGGACTGGTTACAGGTGACTGGAGCAGACACGCATCGTGCCCACTCTTTACTCAGGGCATTGTCTTTGGGGTGGTCGTTGGATTGCCACAACGCTCATATCAACTGCCTACTCATGCAGGGTCATCCAACGACCAGAGACGAATATGACGCATCATTGAGAGCAAGATCTCCAAGGGTCGACAGACAATCGAAGACATGGAAACAAAAGGCAGCATAACTTTCTCCATGCTGGTGGAGCACAACTTTCACTATCAACCTCGAGGACTTCCTGCGAGCGCGACCCACACATAGCACCAGACCAGCGTAGTTGTCTTATTCACGATAGCCATTCAATCTCTCGAAAGCGCGCTGTTCTTGGGGTTGCTGACATTAATCACTTCTCCTTGCACACGAGGAGCTGTCATGCGAATCTTCCCATGTTCAAAAGCGCGGCTGATAGATCACCAACTTACCTTCGTGGTGGTTGTCGTCTGGCTAGCTCGATTTCCTGCCCACGGTGAGCAGGAAGTCGAAGTAGGTTGGACATGCATCGCATTTACTCTTCATTTGAGGCGTTGTCCTGGCGATGCGCACTGGATTGCAACAAAATCCTCATACCTCCCCGGTAGTTAACGAATAGTATATCCGACCATGAGAGACGAATGGGTTTGATCAATGTGTCAATCCTCTGTTATGCTCGCTATGCAGTACTAAATAGTCATAATCTCATGAATGACAATGCCAGCTATTGAGGCTTGCTAACCTCCAACAGCGCCTTGCCGAAGTTCTTGCCTTCCAGCATACCAACAAAGCCCTCAGGAGCGTTATCGATGCCCTCGGTGACATGAAGCTTGACCTTGAATGAGCCATCGTGGATCCATTGCTGCACATTCTTTTGGTGCTCTGCCCAGTACTTTGGACCGAAATCTGGGTCTGCGACAATGAAGCCTCGAATCTAGAACACCGTCAGTGAGATGTCTCAAGTTTAGTAGTCGCTCACAATAAGACTTACAGTTAACCTCTTTGCGACGACCTGCATCAAGTTCTTCACACCGTAATGCTGCTCTGGCTTGAGGTTATATTGCGAGATCATTCCACAAGCAACAATGCGTCCGAATTGCTTCAGATGCGCGATGGCGGCCTCGAGCTGCTCGCCGCCCACATTCTCGTAGTAGATGTCGATACCCTCTGGTGCCAGACGCTGAAGTGCTTCGAGTGGCTTCTCACTCTTGTAGTTGAACCCAGCATCGAAGCCTAGGTCCTTGGTGATGTACTCCAGTTTGTCATCGCTGCCGACGGAGCCGATCACAGTCAGGCCTTCGTGTTTCGCGAGCTGACCAACAAGCTGGCCTACGGCTCCGGAGGCTGCTGAGATGAAGATTGTCTGTCCCTTCTTTGGCTGGCCGATCTCGTACAGAGAGCTGTAAGCTGTGAGACCAGGCATCCCAAGTGGTCCAACGAAGTTCTTAGGGTCGAGGTTGAACGGGTTGTCGATCACCTTGTAGCCCTTGGCCTCCTCGGCGCTGACGACAGTGTACTCCTGTGTTGCTGCATAGCTGTAGTGGACCAGTTGGCCGGGCTTGAAGTTCTCGTTGTCGGACTTGATTACGCTGCTGATAGCCGCGTTGACGATTGGCTTGCCCTTCTCGAACGGTGGAGAGTAGGACTTGACGTCTGGCTTCCTCATGCGGCCACGCTGATATGGATCGAAAGAGACATAGTGGACTACACAGGATCAGTACTTTGACCCGCCCATAATTGTTCCGCTTAAGCTGGACGTGCTCACCTTTGGCAGTGAAGCCGCCTTGTGGTGGTTGCTGCTCAACGTCGAACTCTGTGCTCTCGACGGTGAGGTCCTTGCCAGGCTTGGGCAGCCCGTCTGGGTAGTCAGCAAAGATGAACTGCTTGTTCTGAACCATTTTGGGCGATTGTAGTGAGGCGTTGATGTGTTGGTATTTAGTGAAGATCAATTCCTGTAAAGCGGGACACAAGTGAGGGAAGCGACGTTTATTATAAGTAGCCAAGGCAGTAGCTACGCGGAGGCATCTAGCTTACAAACCTGTCAATGTCTCGAGGTACGCTGGGTCGGTTTACGGCCGTGTTACGTAGCCAGACACGCCAGAGAAGGTTCCTGCAACAATTTCGTGAGAGCCTTCGGAGCAGGGTCGGCATGATCATTGATCATTCGGCCATGAGCCTCGGATGTGTTGCTCAACGAGGAAGAACACCGGCTCTGGCGACACGAGTCGACCACGAAATCTCGGAGTCGAGTCGCTGTGCTAGCGGTTGCGCCGTGGACGCTATCTGCACAGGAAAATGCCCCTCCTCGGCGGCGTGCTCAGAAAGAACAGCGCTCCGAGCACTGGGCAATGGCCGATGTTCGACGAGACATTATTTCGGCGTGCCACTCCAAGCAGTCATTCTTGGCTGACCTCAGCCCTACAGAATCGATAGCGCTGTGACTGTCACCATAGCGCTCTTCCCTCCACATCACACTCCAACATGGCCGACGAGAAGACACCGCTGGATCTTCCGCCCGCCTACGATGGCACAGGCGGCGTTGCAGTCCCAACCGCCCAACCGCCACAACGCCCTGGTGGCGGCCCGCGAGCGCCGCTCCCATTGAATCTGCCCGCGCTGAACATGATCCGTGGCAAGCGTGTGATCCTCGCATCTGCTTCTCCTCGTCGCAGGCAGCTCCTGGCACAGGTAGGTTGTTCTCTCACGCAAAGCTCATCTCCTAGCCATCTACATCATGCGCAACATCTTTCTTAATGCAAAGCTGAGCGAATCTCTAAAAAGTCTCCACCCCCATAGATCGGCCTCAGCAACCTCGAAATCATCCCCGCATCCGTCCCCGAAGACAAAGACAAAGGTCTCGGTCCCTTCGAATACGTCCTCGAAACCGCCTCGCAAAAATGCATGAATGTCTACCAGACCACCATCGACGATGGGAAAGACAAGGGCGGTGAGCCAGCATTGGTGATTGCAGCAGACACTGTAGTCGCAAGCCACTTTGGCGAAATCCTCGAGAAGCCGAAGAACGAGAAAGATCACTTCCAGACACTCAAGATGCTCAGAGATCAGAATAATGGTTGGCATAAGGTCTACACGGCGGTGGTGTGTATGGCGCCATTGGAGAGTTTGATGGATCCGGGGTATGCGATTGAGACGCATGTGGAGGAGACGCAGGTCAAATTTGATCAGAGTGTCACGGATGATTTGATCATGTCGTATGTGAGGACGCGGGAGGGAGCAGATAAGGCTGGTGGGTATGGCATACAAGGAGTGGGAAGCATTCTCGTGGAGAAGATTGATGGGACGTTTGACAACGTTGTGGGGCTACCATTAAGGGCTACGCTGCAATGCATTGAGAAGGTGGTGGTTGAGCCTGGTGTGCCTGAGGAAGTGGACGAGGCTTTGTAGATTCGAGGACACATCCCGTGGGATGAGCGGTAGAGGGCATGAAAGCGTGCCGCGCTATGATAGACTGCGAATACGGCGCATTGCTGAACATAGACTGTCAGCTGACTCGGCTACCGAATGAGTACCGAAGGTTTAATCGTTTCCAAACATTGCAGGCTCTCCGAGAAGAGGAAATTGAGAGGAAAGGTGAGACGTTTGTAACGATTGTAGTGGAGAGGTCTTCCATCGGCTTAGGGCCTCTTCATATACACAAAATGCCGTCTCAACGTGCCACGGCCTCCTCCTCCTCCACCACCATTTCCTCACCTCCCCAAGTCGTTAATGAGTATCAAGAGACACTATGTGAAGTGAAGGGCTCGTCATAATACACCTATGCCGTACTCGCCACCAAACTCCTGCGCTAGAAATCGCTTTTCATATTTGTACATTTTCGTTTTGTGTTCTGTTGGTCATTGCCGCGGCGACTACTGTTTGTCGCTGAAGTCCGGATCGGGAACGTTGTGCGAGACGGACCAATGCTATACCGCAAGCTCGCGATCCTTTGCCATTCCTTCCAGGACGGCCTGTACGCCTCCTTCGCGGAGTCTGGCGAGGACAACTGACATACCCTTCTGTGCCTTGGGCTGGCTCTTTTCGGTGCGTTGCATACCGATGCTTTCAATGGCCGTGCGCACCGCTCCAGAAGTCCAGTTTTGGAAGAAGCCCGGCTTGACAGGTTCTTCATCCCCTGCTCCTGTCACAGATGTCGCACTCGCCTGCTGACCCCATCGTTCTCTTCTCTTTCGGATCTGCTCTCCAATGCGACTTTTCAGTGTCACACTCACATCGACATCGGTGCGCTCCTCGTTTGCCCCGGTGGCGGAAAGCGGTTCCGGCCTGCGATAAGTATGCTTCTCAATGACTGAGAGCACATTGTTCCAATCCAGGTTGCGGCTGTCGGTAGCCATCCACCCCTCCTTTACATCGATCACGCTTTTCTCCAAGATGAAGCTCTGCGTGCTGCCATCGTCGTTCGCTCCCAGTGCGCTCTTTGGCAGAAGCTTGAGCACAGCCGTGGGTAGCCGGCTACGCTTCAAGTGCAATCGAACCGTCGTCAGGCGGCCAGTCTCGGGGTCAAAGTGACGCTCGATCGTGTCGGTCGATGCGACATGGCGCGAGTAGGGGTTGGGATATCGCAAGAAGTATGCGAGGGAGACGGCGCTGAAGCCGTAGTCGTAGGTATAACTGTTGCTGTAGAATTTGACCATGGTCACACGTGCCGTCGTCTGCGAACGCCGCCCATCACCGAGCAGTGTGCAGATATGGATGGGACAGTGGGCGATGCGCGACTGGTGATGGTGGCGGACGTTGGTGAATGATGATGAAGGAGCTGCCAACTCCGCACGAGACTGTTTGCTGATTCCAGCCGCTTCTTCGCTTCGGCTCCAATCCGTGCCGCGCGGAGCCACGGCCGGTCACCCCACCACGCCCGCGACAAGTCATTCGACTCATGCCGTGACATCGCTGCTCGCCGATTCCAGAGCTCGAGAGAAATTCCACATCGATCGACTGATATTACGGGACAACGCACCACACCGCTGGCCATGTCTCAGGATCAGGCTGTCGGCGCACCGCCCGCCGTGGCAGAGGTCAAGGATGAGATCAAGCCTGCCTCGCAGAAGATCGATCCATACAATGTCGCGGGTGAAGTGGACGAGTCTGGCAATGTGAAAGCCATTGACTATGACCGCCTCATCCAGGAATTTGGCGTGCAACCCTTGACTGAGGAGCACCTCAAGAGATTCGAGCAGGTCACCGGCAAACCAGCTCATCGACTGATGCGACGGAAATTGTTCTTCTCACACCGCGACTTCGACAAGATCTTGGACGTATACGAAAAGTATGGCACCTTCATGCTCTATACCGGTCGAGGTCCCTCGAGTGGAAGCATGCACTTGGGACACACTGTGCCATTCCTGTTCACGAAAGAGTTGCAGGAGATTTTCGATGTGCCACTTGTCATCATGTTGACAGACGATGAGAAGTATCTGTATACACGCCAAAAGAATGATGGAGTACAAAAGAAGGGAGCTGAGGTGGAAGACTTCATGGAGTTTGCACATGAGAACATCAAGGATATTATTGCTCTTGGGTTCGATCCCAAGAAGACCTTCATCTATACCGACTACGAGTTCGTAGGAGGCCATTTCTATTGGAATGCCTCGGAATTCGAGTCACTCGTGACAAACAACCAGGCGTTCGGTGCTTTTGGGTTCGGTGGCAGCACGAGTGTCGGATTGACATCATACCTTGCCAAACAATGTGTTGCAGCGTTCCCGTCCTCATATCCAGAACTCTTTGGCTACAAGGACTATCGGTATCCTGATCTCGACCCTGCTGGCAAGCGGCGGCACAAGGCGCTGTCCAAAATTCCAACGCTCATTCCATGCGCCATCGACCAAGAACCATACTTCCGTGTGCTACGAGATCGCTGCGAACGCATGACGAATCCTCACCCGAAGACGACACTGATCCTTTCAAAATTCTTGACTGCACTACAAGGTCCAGGTGGTAAAATGAGTGCTTCTGACAAGAACTCGGCCATCTTCATGTCAGATAAGCCGAACGAGATCAAGAACAAGATCAACAAACATGCGTTTTCAGGAGGACGGGAAACGAAAGAGGAGCATGAGAAGTATGGCGGCAACCCAGATGTTGACGTTGCCTGGACATATCTGTCATACTTCTTGGAGTCCGACGAGGAGCTCGAAGACCTGGCCAACCAGTACCGTGCTGGCAAGCTCATGACTGGCGACATGAAGAAACGCTGCATAGCAGAATTGCAAAAGTTTGTCACCGACTTCCAAGAACGAAGAAGCAAGATCGATGACACCGTGATGCGCGAGTTTACAAGATTACGAAAGCTCGAATTCAATGGCAACCCGAACCCCACCCATCCGCAGGGCGAATCAGAGGCCAATGGGGACGCAAAGGGCGAGGAGAAAGTTGTGCGTGAAGACGGCAAGTTGACTAAGGGTGAAAGGAAAGCTCTCAAGATCGCACAGCAGAAGGCTGAAAAGGAGCGATTACGGCAAGAAAAGGAGAGCGGTCAAGCACCTGCACAGAAGAGCACTGATGATGCCCTGTCAAGTGAAGCTGACAAGCTGAAGTTGGTCGAGGGGGATGTCTCGAAATCATAAAATTAGATGTACGATACTGGAGCGTTCATAGTGAAACGCAACTACAATCGGCGAAGATGGCGCGTTAAACCCATCTCGAAGGGTCAAAGTCGCTGTACAGAGTCTCGAGTAGAGTGTCAGGAGCATCAGGTCCAACATCATCGTGCTCCCTCCAGAGCGCATTCAAAGCAGGGATTTGCTCTGAAGCACTTTCAGCTTTGCATGTGAAGTGCTTGGTACGCGTGGGTTTTACGACGTCGCCTGGAATGAAATCACTTTGACAAGAACAGAACGACTAGAAATGCACGGCAACCCTTCGTCTGATCACGAGGAACAGTATGACTCCGATAGGAATCTGAATCTTTAAAAACTTCCTCTGCCGAGAGGTATCATATCATAACTATATACAATCTGAAAGAAGGATCCCATTCATAACTTCATTTCGCACACCCCACAATCATCTAAGCCTTATACGTGTGCATAACATGAGCGTTGCAGTAAGCCTTAAGGCCCTCCTTACCCCACTCACCACCAATACCAGACTCCTTGTGCCCAGCAAAGAAAGCCTGAGGTGTGGGCTTCTCCCACGAGTTGATGAAAACGGAACCAGCTTCAAGTCTCTTACCAATCTCCTCAGCATGCTTGACATCCTTACCCCACACACAAGCACCCAGACCAGCATTGCTGGCGTTTGCGCGCTTGATGACTTCCTCCTCGTCTTCCCATGGCTGGGTTGGGACGATAGGGCCGAAAGGCTCTTCTTGGATGATTTTGCTGTCGTTTGGTGGGTTGTCGATGATGGTGGGTTGGATGAAGAAACCTTTGCCGGCTTGGACTTCTTCGGATCCGACGGCGAATTTGTAGCCTTGCTTCTTGGTGTCTTCGAAGTAGGTCTTGACTTTTTCGTATTGCATTGCGTTTTGGATGGGTCCGAGGAAAGCGCCTTCGGATGGGGCTCCGACGGTCAAGGTCTTGGTGAAGGAAACCATTTCGGAGAGCATCTCGTCGTAGATGTCCTTGTGGATGTAGATGCGCTTGGTGGCGACGCAGACTTGGCCGGAGTTCTGGAAGGCACCCATCACGAGTTCTGGGGCGACTTTTTTGACGTCGACGTCTGGGAGGACGATGGAGGCGTCGTTGCCGCCGAGCTCGAGGGTTACGCGCTTGAGGGTTGCGGCGCAGGCTTGCATGATCTTCTTGCCTGTGGCGATGGAGCCGGTGAAGGAGATCTTGGCAATGTCTGGGTGGGCTGTGAGCATTGGGCCCAGGTAGTCATCGCCGCCGATGGCCTGGAGGACACCAGGTGGAAGGACTTCTTGTGCGATCTCGACGACCTTCAAGGTGGTGTATGGGGTGAACGGCGATGGCTTGACAATGATCGTGTTACCAGTGAGGAGAGCTGGGATGATCTTTCCGAGGGAGAGGATGATTGGGAAGTTCCTGCCAGGTTGTCAGCTTATACCTCAAGCGAAGTATGCCAGTCTGGCACTCACCATGGGCAGATAGCACCAACAACACCAAGAGGTGTGTAGCGAGTGGTGATGACCTTCTGGTCGTCCTCCATGCTCTCCTCTGGAATGTCCAGGTTGCTGTGGTGGCCAAACCAACCCTCAACACCGCCCTTGGTCTCCATCTCGGCAATTTGTTTCTGTATCACATCAGCATGCTGTCCCATGACTCTTCTCAACCGACATCGATCTTACAGGCTTGCCAGTCTCTGTGCAGAGCAGCTCGGTCATCTCGTCGGAGTGAGCGAGGAGGGCATCCTTGAACTTGTTAAGCAGTTCCTTCCTCTGCTCAAGAGTTGTAGTCTTGTATGTCTCAAAGGCCTTCTTCGCAGCGGCGACAGCCTCATCGACGTCCTTCTGACCTCCAATTGGGACTGGCCATAGCTTCTCGCCAGTCGATGGGTTAGTGCCGTGGTGTTGATCTTTGGCACTTCGCTTCTCGCCGTTGATGATGTTGTAGAACTCGTCAAACTTGACGGTGCTAACCTTGGAAGGAGACATGATTGCTGTGATTGTAAATTGTTTCTATCGGGGGTATCACTTGAGCAAAAGAAAAGACAAAACGAGAGGTTACCGTAAAGCTTGGGCTGCAGGCTCTTATAGTCGGCAGATGGAGTGGACCTTGGTAACCGTGGCTACAGTAGTCCGCTCGCAGCACTTCGCCTCCTTCGTAGATGGAGGGCCTTGGCCGCCATAGAACAAGCGGCAGACGAGGTGAGGGGCACGACGAGTCGTAGGGCAATTCTACGGCCCCGCCATCTGCTTGTGTCGACTTCCCGAAGCTTGGACCCGCTGCGAGCCCTGCGTCACTCCACACAAACACCAACACGAGTCGTGCGTGTCAGTCCTTTGGCGCGTCCGAGTTGGCATCTGGAGTGTCAATCCTTCTCTACGCCGATCCTGGGCTGAAGATGTTTGTAATCAGCGCTGATTCTTGATGTCATGAGGCTGTCCAAGCACGAGTATCGCGACAACTCGATAACAGCCTAGAGATGCATAAAACTTCCCCGCGCACCCACACGTGTCATACACGTTCGCAGCACGATCCGTGAGGCGTCGTCCCAAACAGGGAATTGCCGCAAGCTATCCCCAGCTGGTGGTTGGCATCAAAGAAGTCGACCGACATGTTCCGACTCTCATCTTGTGTGCTGTGCTCCTCCGTCGTGAGCGTCTACAGCTGACCTGCAGCACACTGGCATAAGGTACTGCTCAGAGCTTCGATAGGCATTGGCATACGCTGCATATTCTTGGCGCCTTCGTAGACGCGGGTCATAGGCCCACTATGTCACCGAGGAAGTCAATAAGGAGAAACGACCAGGATGGTCTATGCCTATGCCTGATCTGGCAACAAAGGCTAATTCGTCGAGCGAGGAGAGCACGAGACACATCGTTTACGAGTAGTGAGACGCCTCTCAGCTTCTCGCAAGGAAGAAACCGTTTCCCTTCATGTTCGTCAGCCGTCGTGGAACTGTGCATCGTTCGTACGTAGCTGACGAGATACTGGAGGCCTTGATAGCAAAGCATGCAGATGCAGATGCAGGATGCAGATTGTGACTGGCGGACATATCTCGGGTATAAAGAAGGAGCTGTACGACATTCGGCGCTTTGGGCCTCACTTCCGTGGCCTACTGCAGCTGCCTCGAACGGACTGAGGCTGTTGGCTCGGGAGGAATCCTTTACGGGCGGTCCTTCTACGTGGTGTCTTCAAGACACAGAAGTACTTGGCAAGCAGTCGCAACAGCAATAGATGCGCATGTGGCAGGCGCAAAGTAGTGATGGTATGTACAAATAAAGCTGCTATTCAACATCTACCTATACCGAGCGTAGAAGATGAGGAATCTCACTCATCCCGCTCACGCTCATCACGATCCTCGTCGGTAGTGATACTCAAGCCGCTAAGACTAGGCGTCTCGTTGCCCTTCTTCTCCTTCTTGTCTTTCGAGCTTCCGAGCTTCAGCACGTTGCTCCAGTTCCTACCGCTCCCTCGAGCCTGCTCTTTGCTTTCTCGACCCGAAGTCTCTTTGCTTTCGCGAGCGCTGCTAACACTGGCGTTCAGCGAATTAGCGCCATCTTCTTCATCCTCGGCGGGGACACTGGTAGGCGTGTTCGTGTCGAGCTTGGATTTGTTGCGTTGGAACTTGGGAATCCCGAAGCCGCCCGAGGATGACTTGCGCGAGAGCTTCTGCATGAACGATTCCTTGCCGCCGGAGCTGCCATTGAGAAGCGGCGAGGGCGCCGCTTCGGAGACGTAGGAAGGCGTTCGAATGAGGTCAACAGAATTCCGACCAGATTCGGCGACAGAGGACTCAGCAGTCGTAATACTGCGAGTGTCCCGAGACTTGCGGCTGTTGGGTGGCGAGAAATCTTCCTCATTTTCACCCTGCGCAAGGTTCGGAGTGTTAGATGCAGATCCAGCGTTCGAGGAACCCTCTCCTTTCGACTTCGTGAGTTTCATGCTAGAAAGGAACGACTTGAAGTCTTTAGCTGCAGGGTTGAGCTTGGCGGCGTCGTTGGCAGGCGCCTTTTCTGCCTTCTTCGAACCCGGCGGCGGCCTACTGCCAATCGGGCCCAAATCGGACACTCGATAGTCATCGAACTGGTCATCATCCTCATCTTCGGTGATATCGTCAGGGGGACCGCTGCCGCCGTACTGTGCGGAAGGGCGGCGCGAAGGATGACGAGATCCAAAGATTCGAGACTGCTGAGGATGACTTTGATTCCAACCCGAGCCGAAAGCAAGCGGGCTACTTCTGTTACCACTTGCGGCGTCTCCTGAGGGCCAGTTGTCCACTCCCCACCGGCTGCTGTCGAAGGAAGGTCTCGGTAGCTCGCTCGAATGCGTAGAGCCAGGTCGAGGTGAGGTTGCACGCTTAGAAAACCTTGGCCAGCCACTTCCCTCATTCCTAAACAGTCCAAGTGTACGGCTGCGGCGTGTGCTTGCCGGCATCGAGGGTGCATCAAAAGAGATGTCACCGAATGGAGGGCCACTCAGCATGGAACCAGATATACTACTATTCCTCTTGCGCGTATCCAAGTCTATTCCCGGAATGCCACCGTCTTGGCGAGGCATCGAATTGGACTTGCTGAGGGCTGGACCCTCGTCGCCTGACGATGTTTTGGCTCGCTGCTTGATACCAAACATACCACTGAACCGACTCCCAGCCCCGCCACCACTAGTGGCACGGTTCGAGCGGTTCGAGCGTATGGAACGAACATCAGAGTCCATAATGCGCTCTACACCCTCAGGGGACCCGATCAGGTTCTGTGCGCTTGCTCGAGGGCTAGCAAACACACTCGCCGGTCTGCTACTCCTTCCAGAAGCTGGCGATGCTGGTCCGGGATCGTACGCAGCCTGGTTCTGTGCCACTGTAGCAGTAATTCCAGGTAAGCCGGGCAGCGCGCCGAGGCCTGGCAGAATCATTTCTGTTCGCTTAGTGTCTCCTTCTCCGAAAAGATCTGCAGGTAAATATTCTGCGCCAGCGCCTGGGCTCATGGGGGCGCCGCCGGTCAGCTTCTCGCGGTCCTCGTCGGACATGGCAATTCCGTCCGTGGGACCGGCCAGGCTCGTGCCGTTTTGGATGTTAAAAAATGCTGGCACTGTCGGGAACAACGAAGCTGCGGCTGATGCTCCTGGCTGGAAAGGCGCCGATGCGATGGGAAAATTGGCCATGCGAGGGCTCTCTGATTGACTGACTCCGCTTTGTGCTCTGCGACTCCGATTGCTGTCACCCCTGCGCAGTGGTCTCTCCTGCGTAGCAGGAGGCGATGCGTACTGCTGTGCGGCTTCTTCCTGCCGTCTCTTGGCGCGAAGCTGTTCCAGATAGGCTTGCTGCTCCGCGTGCATACGCTTGGCCTGTTCCAGTTTCGTGTGGGTGGTGGCATACTGGTGCTGCAGGCTCTGGTAAGTGATCTCCCACAACCTCTTCTCCTCAGCGTCCTGCTGAAACTGCTGCACAAGATTTGGCTCTTGCTCAGTGAGGTTCGGCGAGCTATTCTTCATGACACGCTCCAATTTCTTGATTTCGCTGCTCTTCTCCTTCACTTCGTCATCGAGTGCTTTCACAGCGGCTGCTTCTACCACCTGCTTCGCACGTAATTCTTCTGCGTCTTGTTCCGCTTGCTGCAAGTATTCTTCTTTCTCCTTGATGATTCTTTCCATGTCCAATCTCATCTTGGCGGCTTCTTCATCCCAGCGAATCATGTCATCCTTCAATTTTTGCCGCTCCTGCTTCTTTTGCTGAAGAATTCGTTCGTGTTTTGTTCGATCATTTTGCGCGATGGTGTTTTGTCGCTCCAATGTATTGACCTCTTTCTTGAGGTTGCGGCTGGCCCTGTCACGCTCCAATGACTCCGCCTTGAGCTCGTCTCTCTCCTTGGCTAGCTCGTCTTTCTGTCTCGATTCTTCTTCTTCCTCCTCTTTGGCCTGTCTCTCCGCCTCGTCTGTCTCCCTTCGAATGGCGTCGAGCTTCTCGGTCAGCCGCGTGATCGTTTCCGCGCCCTCTGGAGGCTCGTTGTCGTCCGGTGGAGGATCGTGTTTTTGGAGATCGAGGGCAGATGGCGAAGCTCTTCGACTCTTTACACTTCTGCTTGGTCCCAAACCAGTGCTATTCTCGCGGGTCATCGGCACGGCATCGGGTAGGGCAGGTGCGACATCCTGCAGTGCACGATACGGCTGAGCGTGAATAGCAACTTGCGGCCCATCATATTCGCCTTCATCATCGAGAGAGGGTGCAAAGAAGTCGGCCGAGGCGTGCTGCTTGGTGCGGAAGCGAATGGGCTGGCTCTTGGAGGCAAAGTCCATGTTGTTCACCAGTGAGACTCGCACAACGTAGAAACAGCCTGGCTGCAGGCCCATAATCAATGCTCCTGACTCTTTAACCGATAGCGATGCAACGACATCTCCATTGACCATGATCTCGAAGCGGTGTGTGGTTTTGTTCATGCGAAGTGGGCTCTCGGGCAATTGCCAATGGATGATGGCACCGTCTGCTTTAACTCCGGCCAGGTCTACAACGGGTGCGGAGGGAATATCGAAGCCCAGCAGACCGGCGAGGTCTTCGAGAGGGCGATTTACGACCTGGTATGCGCGCCAGAACAGCCTACACGAAGCACATCAGGAATTTGATCGGAGCGGGGAAGGCGAGCGCGGCGCATACCATGACATGGCCATGAAGACCACGAATGGCTTGAAGTAGACGGCAGCCGGTACCGCCATGGAGTTGACGAGCGTGTGGCCCATAGCGATCAAATAAGGAGCGTAATTGGCGTCGGTCGAGAGAGCATCTGCAAACACTGCTACCCAGCCAGCGGCCTGATGGGGCGCCTTCGGTCCGGCCATGGTGGGCGAGGGTAGCAGTAGCAGTAGCAGTAGCAGCAGGCCAGCATCGAGTGAGCGAGGAGCAGCGAAGGAGGTACCAACAATGCCAAAAGCAGCGCCAATGCGCATCCAATATGCAAAAGGGCACAGAGTCACGACGAGGCGCTTTGCTTCGGCAGGCGTCCAAGTCGGCAGCAGCAGGGCAGACGGGCCAAGCAGCGGCAAAGCGTGAAGAAAGCTTGGGTGACGGGCGAGTAGTCAGCAGGAAACGGCCATGTGCGCCGCGAACCAGGGCCGGCCGAGGGATGAAGCATGTGCTGTGCTGCGTCTCAACGCATGGGAGGTACTGTGGTACTGTTGTTGATTGCAATTGCGTCCTCCTCCTTCTCCCGGCTCCAACAGTAGTGTATACAGGTCTTCCACCTGCTCGTACAGTCCTTCGCTTCGTATTCCTGCCCCCGCGGCCTGCTGCAGCATCCTCGGATCGGCCTTTTTGTGTCCGGTCATCTGACGTGTGGCATCGCGATCGCATCTGAGCCGGACTGTCGCCGGTCTTGTCCAGCTGCCCCATCCCATCCCAATAAACCGCCGCAGAGTGCGAGAACGGGAACGACGTCAGGCCCAAGTCGCCCAGAACAAAACGCCCAGCGCGCCGCATACCCAGCTCCGCAGTGCACTGCTCCTCCTCCTCCTCCTCCAGCGCAACCTTCAATAGCCCCCGTTGCGCCTCCGCTTTGATTGCAACCAAACGTCTAGACTCTCACACTCGCTTTCACGTACTCACCACCGCACCACCTCTGATGTCCTCTTGAGAACCGCACACCTGGCGAGCACGCTGAAGTCCGCGCTCGATCACCATGCAATACGTGCGATCAATCACCGGCTCCGTGTCCAGCACCTGGAATTCCATCAACCCTGCCACTCTCTCAGGCGCAATCGATGTCGTAGTGGTCGAACAGGAAGATGGGTCGCTGGCATGCAGTCCCTTTCACATTCGCTTTGGGAAGTTCTCTCTTCTGCGACCCTCGGAAAAGAAGGTTGAGTTCAAGGTCAATGGCAGCAAAGTCGATTTTCCCATGAAGTTGGGCGTTGGAGGCGAGGCCTTCTTCGTCTTTGAGACACATGAGGATGTTCCTGAGGCGTTGCAGACTTCTCCTCTGGTATCTCCTGCTGCGAGTCCAGAGCTGAAAGCGAGCCCTCCTCAGGCACCATCTTTGCAAGAACCGGACATGTTCGACTTGGAGAAGACTGCTCTGGGGATGCCGCAAGACGGACCCTCTCGAGGCAAAGGGCACAGCAGGAGCACGACAGAAGGCATTCCGATCCTGCAGCGCAGACCGAACAGCGACCTGGGGAATCTCACACCATTGTCGAGCACACCCAACGATCAGCAGCTGCGACCACGGCCCGTATCTGGTGACTTCTCCGCCTTCCATCCAACCCTCGATCGAACATCCTCGGACAGCGCCCTCACTGCAGCTCGAGCTGCCATTAACGAATCGCTCGAACGCTCCGAAGTCATTCTGTCTGCCGGTTCAGAACGAGCGCCCAGTCCGCAGGGCAGGACAGCAGATGGCACAGGCACTACCTCTCCCGAGTATGCGGAAGCGAAAGAGCGTGCGATGGTCTTGTCCAAGAAGCTATGGCAGTCGAACATCAGTAATCAGGTCACAGAGACGGGCGACTTGATGCTTGACATGAGCAGCTATGGCAGTGGAAATGCCGAGGCGTTGCAGGCCGAAGGCATTGCTCGACAACTACTCTCCGAAGAGCTGGACGGTCCTTACGATATTGGCTCGCTCATTGGTGCTGATGAAAAAGGTAACATCTGGATATACAGCAGCGAGGAGGCCAAAGATGCTGCGAACAAGCGTGCAGCTGCAGCAGGTATGGGAAGCTACAATCCGACTGCATACGCTTCGACAGATGCCATCTCAGATCCGGGCTATCACTCCGATGATGCTCGTAGCGTGGACTCGAAATCAGGATATGCAGATTCGCACATCAGGCGTGATTCGGACAGTGCAGTAGGGATGGGCTCGCAGCCTTCGTCGCCCACCGCTGGCGATCCGAATAAGAATTATGCCAAAACGCTCCGCCTAACGTCAGATCAACTCAAGGGCATGGATCTCAAACCTGGCGCGAACACCATGGCTTTCACTGTTAACCGTGCCACATGTCAAGCAACTCTTTGGTATTGGAGGCATGATGTGCCGATTGTGATATCTGACATCGACGGCACCATTACAAAGTCGGACGTGCTAGGCCATGTGCTCAATACTATCGGCCGTGATTGGACACACCAGGGTGTGGCCAAGCTATACACCGAAATCGCTGCCAACGGGTACAACTTTTTGTACTTGACAAGTAGGAGTGTTGGTCAAGCAGACACAACGAGGGCGTATCTAAAGGGTGTCGTCCAGGAAGGCTATAAGCTTCCTCCTGGCCCGGTCATCCTCAGTCCAGATCGCACGATTGCCGCTTTACGAAGGGAGGTGTATCTACGCAAGCCTGAAATATTCAAGATGGCGTGCTTGCGTGATATCATGTCGTTGTTTTCGGGTCATGGTGGGGCGCAAAATACGACTGAAAATGCCTTGGAAGCAGGTCTCAAGCCCATGAACGAGGCAGACATGCCTGGGGGTCTCGGAACTGGACGAGGCAAATCTGGGTCGCCATTTTATGCCGGATTTGGCAATCGACTGACAGATGCGCTGAGTTATCGTTCGGTCAACATTCCATCGACACGAATCTTCACGATCAATAGCAACTCTGAGGTCAGTTTGGACCTACTCTCGCTGAACCACTACAAAACTGCCTACAATAGCATGCGGGAGATTGTCGATCACTACTTCCCACCCGTGGGATTGCTTGTCAAAGGTGGAGGTGAGGAATTCACGGACTTCAACTATTGGCGCGAAAGGCCTCTAGACATACACGATTTCACGGATTCTGAGGATGAAGACGAGCCCATTAACAATGCGATGGCCAAGCTGCAGCCCGCCATTACGAGGGGAAGCCAAAGCGTGCTTAGTGAGGACGAGGCCGGAGACGACATGATGGACTCTTATCTGTCTGACCCGGATGGACGCCCAAGCCTTGATCAATCAATCGTCTCTGCACTTGACCGAGACGAGGAATATTACACGAATGATGAAATGACGCAATCCATGCTTGAAGAGGAGGAAGATGGTGACGATGAGGATGAATACGAAGACGATACAGACGATCAAGCAGATGAGGAAGAATATGAAGTGGAACATTCTCGAGATGGTGCCCAGTCACCTGTGACGCCACACATGAGTCCGAAGAGTGAGAATGTACGAACGCTACGAAAACTGAGCGACGAAGAGTTGCCGTTGCGCGGGAAAGACCGGATGGAGGATGTTGAGACAGGTCTCGGCATATCACAACTGAATACTGACACGGCAAAACATTCACCTCGGAAGCGATAGAGGAGCTTTGGTTTTGTGTGATCACGACATTTGAGGTGTTGGACATTTGCATTGGACAGGCGCATTTTGAGGAAAGGCAGTTGTTGATGAGTTGCTGCGTTCGAGCGGTCATTATTCTTTCGCAAAACGGGCGAGATGTATATCAGATGCAGTCATGACCCAGACGATGGCATGGCATTCAGAAGTATTGTGTTACTAACTTAGGACGAACACTTGTAGCTGATAAAGGTACGCGTCTGACGTGTCGCGTGTTTGTGATGCGTAATCAGTCAAGTGGTGCGATGTTCGAGGTCCATCTCTGAACACGTGCTTCTGGTCAATGAGAGCAGCAGATTTCCCTCACTCGAGCATTCACTGTCTGTGTTGAATTACGGGACCACCCTGACCACGTGATTCTTGGCAGAGAAGAGTTTTCTCAAAACTCCGGAAATACGTGTTATGTAGTCAATCAATCAACTAATTAGAATGGTTTAATCGTTCACCGCCTATATAGTGTTACTATATATAAGCGATAGTTATAAGCCCGGCTCGTAGAGAAATAGTTACTTCTACTTACGTACGACGATAACGATTTTACTATCTAATTAATTAATTTAGAATCTCTCTTAAAATAACTCCTTTATAAAGACTAGACGACACTCTTTCCGTATACTACCTCTACTATACTATTAACTGCTATAAACCCTATAGCTACGCTTAAAGGCTTAAGATACTTCCGAACTACTCTAGACTAGATACTATAGCTTAATTAGATACGTATTTACTTTAATAACTATAATATATAGAAGTACGCTAATCCTAATAGAGTTATTAATCTACTAAATAAGCCTAAGATTAATCCGGATATACTAAGAGCTATAGATAGCTCTAATTAATTTAGAATAATAGAGGTTTACTTTAAGGTATATAGTCTATAGAAGGCGGAATATATTATAGTATAACCGTATAGCCGCCGCTACGGTACTAGCCGTACTTAGCGGCTAGTACCTTAGCGGCCGGTACCTCCTTTAGATAGTAGTTAGTAGATATATAGAATAGATATATACTTTACCGCTTATAGCTTATTCGTTCTAGACGTAGTAAACTAGTAGTATCGGAGGTTCTTCCTTAAACTCGTTCGA